CCCTCTGACTATTATCCTCTTTTAATAGTCCAGGCTGGCAGTGATGACATTGAAGAGAGAAACATGAAGACCATCAAACAGGACTTCAGGGGACTGGGACGGTTAGAGGATGGAGCGGGAGTACAGGTGGTGTTTTTGTCTACCCCTATGGTTGCAGGGAGGGGTACAGAGAGGACACGGAAAGCCCACCTGATAAACACGTGTCTCAGGCTGGTGCCAACACAGAAATTTTTTTTTTTTTTTTTGACCATGGGGTGCTTTACTCGGCACCCAGCCTGATCACTGCAGACGGGTCACGATTTCTAAGGGGAAAACAGATCCTAGGCCAGGAGCTGGCAGGGCTCATTGAGAGGGCTTTAAACTAGGTAAGAAAGGGGACGGGGCTGAAACAAAGCTACATCAGTGCTAAACGGAGGACTAAGGAGAATCTCCAGCCTTTACTGGATGCAGGGGGGAACGTAGTTACAAGAGATGAGGAAAAGGCGGAGGTACTTAATGCCTTCTTTGCCTCAGTCTTTAGCGGCAAAACCAGTTGACACCCATTACCCTGAACTGGTGGAAGGGGTTGGGGAGCAGAATGTGGCCCTCACTATCCATGAGGAAATGGTTGGTGACCTGCTACGGCACTTGGATGTACGCAAGTCAATGGGGCCAGATGGGATCCACCCGAGGATACTGAGAGAACTGGCGGAGGAGCTGGCCAAACCGCTTACCATCATTTATCAACAGTCCTGGCTATCGGGGGAGGTCCCAGTTGACTGGCGGCTAGCAAATGTGACACCTATCTACAAGAAGGGCTGGAGGGTAGACCCGGGAAACTACAGGCCTGTCATTTTGACCTCAGTGCCAGGGAAACTCATGAAGCAGATTATCTTGTGTGTCATCACGCGGCACTTACAGGGAAAGCAGGCGATCAGGCCCAGTCAGCATGGGTTTATGAAAGGCAGGTCCTGCTTGATGAACCTGATCTCCTTCTATGACAAAGTGACGTGCTTGGTGGATGAGGGAAAGGCTGTGGATGTGGTCTACCTTGACTTCAGCAAGGCTTTTGACACCGTTTCCCACAGCATTCTCCTCAAGAAACTGTCTGCTCATGGCTTGGACTGGCGTACTCTTCATTGGGTTAAAAACTGGCTGGATAGCCGGGCCCAAAGAGTCGTAGTGAATGGAGTCAAATCCAGTTGGAGGCCGGTCACTAGTGGCGTCCCCCAGGGCTCGGTGCTGGGGCCGGTCCTCTTTAGTATCTTTATCAATGATCTGGACGAGGGCATTGAGTGCACCCTCAGTAAGTTTGCAGATGACACCATGTTAGGTGTGTGTGTCAATCTGCTTGAGGGTAAGAAGGCTCTGCAGGAGGATCTGGATAGGCTGCACCAATGGGCTGAGGTCAACTGTATGAAGTTCAACAAGGCCAAGTGCCAGGTCCTGCACCTGGGGCGCAATAACCTCAAGCCGAGCTACAGGCTGGGAGATGAGTGGTTGGAGAGCTGCCTGGCAGAGAAGGACCTGAAGTATTGGTTGATAGTCGGCTGAATATGAGCCAGCAGTGTACTCAGGTGGCGAAGAAGGCCAACAGCATCCTGGCTTGCATAAGAAGCAGTGTGGCCAGCATGTCTAGGGAAGTGATTGTCCCCCTGCACTTAGCTCTGGTGAGGCTGCACCTCAAGTACTGTGTTCAGTTTTGGGCCCCTCGCTACAATGACATCGAGGTGCTTGAAAGAGTCCAGAGAAGGGCGACGAAGCTGTTGAGGGGTCTGGAGAACAAGTCTTATGAGGAATGGCTAAGGGAGCTGGGTTTGTTCAGCCTGGAGGAAAGGAGGCTTAGGGGCGACCTTATCGCTCTTTATAAGTACATTAAAGGAGGCTGTAGTGAGTTGGGGATTGGTCTATTCTTCCATGTGCCTGGTGACAGGACGAGGGGGAGTGGGCTAAAGTTGCACCAGGGGTGTTTTAGGTTGGATATTAGGAAGAACTTCTTTACTGTGAGGGTTGTGAGGCATTGGAATGGGCTGCCCAGGGAAGTGGTGGAGTCACCATCCCTGGAGGCCTTTAAAAGATGTTTAGATGTTGAACTTAGTGATATGGTTTAGTGGAGGACTTGTTAGTGTTAGGTCAGAGGTTGGACTCGATGATCTTGAGGTCTCTTCCAACCTAGACAATTCTGTGATTCTGTAAATCCCGTCTTCTTAACAGGCTCTATTGTACTGCTGAAAGAAAGCAGGTGTTAAATAAAAACAGGCATAATTTCCATGGTTTTAACTCATATAGCTCCACTGGAAATTGTTTAGAGTAGTTAGTGTCATATCCTAGCACTGTAAAGACCCTTCACCAAATCCAGGTAATAAAGTGTTCAATTTTAGAGAGCAATTTGGGATCATAAGTGATTTTCAAAAAATGCATTAATTTCAATTTTTTGAGTCAAACATCACTATGGAAAAGCTGGGATCATCGGCCCAATCAATAATACCTCCAGCAACACCAGGAATTCTGATACGTAATCACTGTATGTCACTCATACAAATATCTATTCATAAATATTTCTTTATACAACTCCAGTTTCAGGTCCTGAAAAACCATATTCTTTAAAAACAAAACAAAACAAAACAAAAAACAAACAAACAAACAAACAAAAAAACACTGCTTGTACCTGGCTCAGCCCTTAGTGAATGTGTAACACCATCTTTCTGCAGTCACATCTCTAGTTCTGCTATCAGTCAAAGCACTGTTTCAAATCTGATTCTCTGTAAAACTTGAATTAAGCAGAAACTTGGGGAATAGAAAAAGGTGTAGAAGGCTGAAGGACAGATCTTCAGCAGTTTTAAACTGTTACAGTATGAGTTATTAATGCTGCCAAGAAAGTTTATACCAACTGATAATCTGCTCTGAAATTTGAGGATTGTTGGCAAATTCTCCTTTGCAGTAGAAATTTAGTCATTTCCTGAAACTGCATGTTACAGTTAAGCTTAACAAAACTATCCAAGCATATTTAGAAAGCTGACATTTATTTCCTATGTAGTTGGCTGTTCTGTGACTCACCTAACACCTTACTGAAAGTATGTGTTGCATGACTCCCTACCAAAATGTTACCCGATATGTATACTCTATTGGAGGACACAGCAATTAACATTCAAGTCCATTTATTATTCTCAATATTTTTTTCCAACATGTACAGATTACTTGGTACTATTTTGTGTCTTAATTTAGAAAAGAATGACAGTTTTCCTCAGCATTGCAGTGTGAGTTTTAGTTTGTTCTAATGAAGACAAATTCCTCTCAATCAGGTTTGTTCTGTTCATTAAATGAGACAGATGGCAGACTTGCTGTATAGGTAACGATTCCAAGATTTTAAGCTTATTTGGAATGTAGTAGTTTGTGTTCCCCAGCTAAAAAGTGATCAATATCTTAGATGAAAGAGCAGTTGGTTCTGTCTTTGCAGAATTTTTGTGGCATGTCCACAGTTCTTCATTAGAAAGCTGAAAATCTGAAGGTTCCACAGAAAGGCATAAAAGAGGTACATTCAATCAAATTTGTAAAATATGGTCCAGCAGATGTTTCTGTCTTGGTTGAAAATTAATATATGTTTCCAAAGCTCTGCCAGAACAGAGTATATTATCTTCTGGAGGAGAATCTGCAACTGACTAGGATGTAGTGCTCCTTTCCTTTCTTCCCTTTGGTCCTGAGAGTAGCAGTGTGTTCGGTTGGAAGCCTTTAATCTGCCAGCCCATCATAATTAATGCCATGAAATTAGTGTTGAAATGTAAAACCCAAATGGGAACTGCTTTGATCATAGGAATCTGTGCTAGATGCCCACATCATGGACTCTGAAATTGAGAGGTAAAACATGGAAACTGCTGAACAGTGCTCAGAGATACCAGTCTCTGAAATCCTGGAGCCATTTCAAACACAGAAGGCTACAGGCACTGGCTGGATAGACATTGTCACTGTTTAAGGCATCATAGAAAGAAACAAAATAATCTGTTGTGCTAAGCAGAAGTAAAGTATTACTCAAGTAGATAAAAATGTTTTTGCCTTATTCAAATATTACAACTATAAAGCAATTCTCACTGTTATCTTCTTCATAATGCCTCAAAAATGGTATCATTTATATTAGTTTTGTGATAAATACCGATTTTTTTCAATGCTAAGATAAGTATTCAAGATGAAGCAAGCCATGTAATTTGCAGTATTCTCGAATATATGAGAACATCATGTATGAGGGAAGGTATAAGTACAAGAGGACATTATCTTCATGTACATTCCTGGTTTTGGCACAGTCTGATTTTACACACACATACTGTTTGAGGTATATCTAACCCTAGGAACACTAAGAAAGAGTTTTATTCAGTTGTCGTTTCTGTTCACTTTGTCTTAACAAATTCATACTTGATTTCAGGGAAGGTTAACCTGTGTTCAGACAGTGTTTTCTCCAAAGATGATAATGTCTTTGGTTCAGCTAACTGGGAAACAGGTGCATGCACCACTAGAGCATTGTCACCTAAAAATAATAGACTCTGCCTCTATTATATTTATTAACATTCTCATTAGTTCATATCAACGAATAATACAGATAGACTTTATAAGGGAAAGAATCGAGACAAGCCTTCATCTACTTCACATCTGCTCAGACTGGAAAAGACAGGGGATGCATCCTTCAAGAGAAGACTGGAAACTGAGAATCTGAATGCTGTTGGACCAGAAATTACCAACTGAATACTATTTAGGACATTTACAAAGGCCCTTAGTTCAGCTCCTATTTGAGAGGTGGAGATATACATATTGAAAGGAATGTCCTTCCTAACAATCCCACCAAAGAAACCACAAAATGAGAAAGCACAAATGCCCCACAACCCTGATGAATTTATGCTGATGCTGAGGCACATACGCTCTGTGGAGAGACATAACTCTCTGGTGTATACAACTATGCACACTATTTTAAATAGCAATTAAGAAGAAAGAAACACAGAATTCTGGTAAAAAGACTACCAGTTGCCCAAAGAAAGTAGCTTTTGTGTATCACTTTATGCTAGTGGTGACATAATAGAAAACAAAATACCACAGAGTTACATACATGTTCTTTGTCTAGAAGTATTTACAAGTAACTTTACAAATTTTTATACACATTTTCAGGTTTGCTTGTTTACTTTTAAATTAAGAAAAAAGTTAGTCCCCAGAGGCTTCTAAGGCTGCAGTTGGTGCCTTATACTGTACATTCATGCTTGGCTTCTTCCTGGGAGAAGGGAGGAAAAGAGTTTAAAAATGTGCAAAACCCAGACACCTAAAGAGCCCTGGACTTAAAGGTTCCTAGATACTGACATCCAAAGAGTGGTCATTCTACTTCTCAAATTAGAGACACTATTGTTGATGGGCTCAGGAAAAAAGAGATTAGGGAAGGAGAAGGAGCCATATATGAATTGCAATAATGAGATGAGTACATTAGTGCTGGAACATCTGGCTAAGAAGAGTCATAAATCAATTCCTACTGCATACAGCAGTTAAGAAAATACAAGGAGTGGACATTGTGGATTTTAAATACAGCATTGAAATGATCTCTTTTAACACTGTTAGGGTTTGACTCATGCTGGATGTTTTGGAGTCAAAATCACTGTTTACTGATACAATCTTGACCAGGCACAGTATGATTCTGTCAGTTAAAAAATACTGTCTTCCTTGAGGAAGATGCATCCTTCTCTTAGTTTTCACAGGTTTTGTTTTAATGCCTCAACACTAACTGTTGTAAAAATATTAAAATTAAAAAAGAAAAAATTTACAATTTACAAGTGTCCATATAAGTAAATCATTCAAAAATTCCAGATAATCTACAAGGATCTACCAAATAACAATGCTGATAATGACACTGAGCCTGTGGGAAGAACAATCCACATGCCGTGAGAAACGGATGGTGGGTTTCTTCCAGAAGGATGAGTCACAAGGTTGGTCTTTTCTTCTAAAATCTGTTTCTTCAGCTACAACAGCAGAAGTCTTGAGTCAATGCTCATTACTTACTTCGACCTATAAAACAGAATATATGAATTACTTACAAATGAAAACCTGTTCAGTACATCTTATTTGTGAGATGTACGTTCACAGCAGCTGACAGGTTAGTAACTAATGAACAAGTGGATAAAACACCTCTAGAAACTAATTTCCCTGGCTGTAAGACACAGATAAAAGGTCAAAAATGAAAGGCTGATTACAAAGTGGTAGCTTTGCACCATGCATACCACAAAAGCAAAAACAAAAACAAAAACAAAAACAAAAACATTTTGGGAAAAATACAGGAGGTGATGAAAAATGCCTGAAGCTCACATAATAATAAATTATTTTCAGAATTTTAACAGCGTTAAGATGTATATTCACCAGGTTATAGAATTCTCATCTGATTACAAATGTACGTTTCAGCTGGACTCACACATTTACAGTCTTCATCACAGTCATCTGCCTGATGAATCTATGTATATTAGTGTCTGCCTGTAAGCTGTGTTCACTTGGATAATTTTGGAAAATCTGTGGTGGCTTTTCATAGTGATTTCATGGTGGCTAGGCTCTCAGGAGAAGATACAAACAGGGCAGGATCACACAGACCCATCATAGAGCGGTAGCCTTTCCATTGGCCGTTTCTCAGGCACTGCATCAATCCCACAAGCAGAAGCTAAGAACATCTCTAGAAACGGTCTGTCTTCTTTGGAATTAGGGGTTCAGTGTCTGTCCAGACAAGGCTACCCAAAAGTATAGTAGCAATGAATCAGATCTACTCATCCCAGCAGTAATGGTGGACATGTAAAGTTTAACTTCTGCAGCCAGATACTAACAGCAATAAGAAACCCAAGTGCAAACCAAAATGCAACATTTTTAATTTCTTCAAATCATTAATAATCATAATGAAACAAAACAAATCAATGAAATTAAAATGCAACATTCTGTTTTGTTTTGATTTTGTATCTCCATACTTCTCTATTTTACATCTAGCAGTGGAAGCAATTTTAATTACTACTAGGTGACCTGGCTTTAGATATTGTGCTTGAAACAAATGAAAATACAACAGTCTTCTTTAAAGCCCATGTGTTTCAGTCCCAAGAACATGACAATCTTTTTCCACTCCCTCTGTTGTCCCTCCCACCACATTTTAATTGAAACTGCATGGTTCAGGGCAAAGATTCTCCTTCTGCTAGTCCAATGGCCTAATGGAGTTATAGGCAGAACTGACAGCAGACATGTTATGGTTGTTCATATTTGTGTTTAAGAACATTCCCTGTGAGCACAGATTCAAATTTAATCTACATGTATACTCAGAGATGAAAAGGAAAATGACTCTTAGACTTGTTAATGATTAGCAATTATTGTAGCACCAAGCAGGTATCATACTGAGTATGGGCACTCAATAAAAACAGAGAATGTCTTCTACATACATTCAATGAGGCCACAGAGCCTTTTTTTTTTTTTTCAATGTCTTATTTTTAGTTAATTTATGAATGAAAGAAGGGACATGAAAGGGATGAGAAAGCGGGGTATATAGCCAAGCTTTTCTCTATAAAGAGCATCACACTAATCTTTCCCATGAGTAAAATGGTGAAGATAGCAAAAGATCTATAACCTTTATTAAGGCTTTTAATGTATTTAACAGGCATTATTCATGTTCACTTCTCAGTGAATAGAAATGGAGTTTTTCACTGGATATCAGCAGTCACATTTCTTAGGGATACTATGGATTTTCAGACTACATATAACTGATATTGATAGCAATTAACTTCTTAAAAGAACTCAGGAAGGCTGATGTGCTGCAGACGGATAAGCATCTGCAAATTTCTGTCACAATCCTCTGACTGTTCAAATGGTTTCCAGCAATTTAAGTCAGACTTTGATCACTCATATTATTTTTCCTCCTTGCTTGAGTAAAGATGCTTTCTGTAGCTTTCAGTGCCTAAAAACATAACATCAATAAAGAAGAAAATACAATGTAATTTGTTTATTTGTTTTACAGTTTTATACTTCTAGCAGCCATAAAGAAGCCAGATAAGATCCTTCCAACTGTACAAGAATACCTATCCATAGGAAATGGGAAGACGCTACTCATTTTCCAGTATAAAAAGCTCACCAACATTCCCCATATCCTCCAAGCTATTTAACCTAAATCTGCTAACAAAGAAAAAATTCTCTCTTTTTTTTTTTTAACATAAATGAACAGATTTTACAGGAATGTATATATAAATACTTCCTGATTTTTTTTTTCTCCTTTAGTTACACTGAGTTTGCTCAACGACTGTTTTAAAACTAACCTCAACACAGCTTTAGAGATTAAAATTGTTTATGGAGAGGTGTAAATGTTGTAGCTGTGGCTTTCTTCTTCCCAGATACCAATTTCATATTTTCATTCTCAAGCATCATATTAAGAATGGTCAAACCTCCTTTCTGCCATCATCTTTCCTATATAAAATGCAGTAAAGCCAGGACCTAGAGAAATATTACTGAAAATACATATTCCAACACAGAGAGTATACTTATTATCATGTCAAACTCCTCATTATTTGTTGTTGTTCTTGTTCTTTTTCTTGTTGTTGTTTTAATGTGATATTTCTTCCTGTTCTAACATGTACTATCACACTGAAATAGGACTTTTCTCTTTTCTTGGCTTTCATAATCCTACAATTTTTACTCACTAAATTTGAATATTTTTTTTTTTTCCTGCAAACTGAAAGCTGCAGCATGTGTAAAATGTATTTACAAAACATGCAAATATTAGCAAAGTCTCAAGCAGAGTTCAGGTGTCAAGTGCCCACTCAAAGCATTTTGTTAGCAACTGTCTTTAAATTAAAACTCCTAGAACATGTAACCATACATACACCAAGAAAGACTTTCAAACTCATTTTAATTCTCTTAAGTGATAATTAAAATATAGTAAGTCATTAGATCAAGTTCAGTCAGTTAGCTGCACTTGGGTTTTGTGCTGCATTTAAGATGCACGAAAGGCCCAAAGATAAATTTAAAGATGGAAAGCATCGAGGCAACAACTTACAAATATCTAAGAAGATCTCCAAATGAACATCTTCTGTTTTACCAGTAACACTATGAAATATCATCTATTTAAATTTATCTTAGCTTCTGCCAAAATATATGTACTGCTAACACTATATTTCATATACATGTAAAATGAACAGATATGTATCCAAATTAATTCATTAGGTAGCAGAGAGTACTTCATAGAAGGACTCTATAAAAACTGTGATTTTCATAACTGATAACAAAGAGATAATGAAGTTTCAATGAAACTCTACAGATAGATTTTAAGCCAACTAGCAGTTTTTCAGCAAACATTTTTTCTTCCAGTATCTTAACTGACAACAGAGATAATGAAGCTTCAATGAAACTCTACAGATTTTTTCAGCAAGCATTTGTTTTCAAGTAGCTAGAAAGTTCTGTTTTTCTATAAATGGGTTAATCCCATTAAGATTTATGAAGCAGGAGCCATAAACTAGCTCTCTTTTTGCTGAAAAGTCAGCAGGAAACAATTCCATCCTTTACTGCAAGCCTCTCCTTGTGTTAAGCCAAGGCATGTCACAGCAGACGTGGTGATATTTACTAATCCTTGTTTTAGCAGATCATCAATGTCATCATCAATGACAAAGTGTCCTTACTAACATGTTTTATGTGGATTATTTTTTAGTTAAGTTCTAATTGAAGTAAAATTATTAGTAACCTCATGCCAAAATTATTTCAGGAGAAAGTTAGCTTTCAGTCCAGTTAGAAGGATTAATGTGGTCCATAGGACCAGAACCTTACCTACAGGCTTTACAGGCTTTAACTCAACATGCTCCTGGGGGGGCTGTCGGTAGGAGTATGTGTCAAGTCCGCCTATGAAATCAACTGAAAATACAACAGTGCCAGAAATGAACAAATGGAAATGAAAGTATGTCAACTGAAAAATAAGTATGGACAAATTATATTAAAAAAATAGTAAACACATGCACAGGTTTGCAGAACAGAAATAAACAAGTAAAAATACTGTGGAAGTGTCTTCCAGAGGCTCTGTGGTCTGTCATCTACAACGTCCACATAGCACTGTGCAAGGCAGCAGCTGTCTGACCAAACATGCATGCTTCTTTCAGCACACATGCTTATTCACATATCTGAAGAGTACGTAGATAAAAACTACTGTGGAATAATTTAGCTTCTTGTTTCAAAAGCAATCTCAGCATAAATTTCAAAATTCAGATTCTGCTCCTTTTGAAGTGTTTAGAAATTTAGTGGTGGAAACTATTTAGTTCATGAACCTAATTTCTCCCCAACTTTCATAAACCAATGGACTCTCATGAATGTAAGGAAACAAGACAAACCAATGAGCCCACTGAGTTGAGAATAAACAGATAGGTCGATGTGAAGAAGCATCAGAATCTTCTCTGAATTTGGGAGGACAGTAAGTCTTTTCAGAATCCTTCCAATTTCTTTCAACATTTCTGTCATAAGCTATGTGGGGATATCTGCCCTTGATAAGTTTTTGGTTCCCTTTACGGTCATAATGATTTTTAAATTACAATGCTTTAGCCTAAATCTTGTATCTTGCTACTCTTGGTAAGATTTTCAACAGCTTCAAGAAGACACAGTTCCAAGCTACCACAGAAATCTAAAAGCAAGTTCGGGATGAAGATGATTTTTCTGATGATTTAGGAGGGCTTTTTACAGAAGCAATGTAGAGCTGACAATCACATCACATTAGGATTCTTTAGTTACATGGAAGGCAACTGCCTTTATTTGTTTATACACAAACACATTTATAAGTCCTAAACTGAATTTATGTCCTCATCATGTTAATCACTGTACGAGGACCTGTACTGGGTTTATGTGGCAAGGTTTTGGTAGTCAGGGGCTATAGGGGTGGCCTGTATGAGCAGAGCCCAGCAGCTGCCCCATGTCAGATCAGAGCCAGCTCCACAACGGATCTGCTGCTGGCCACAGCTGAGATAGTGAGCGATGTTGGTTGGGCCTCTGGGAAAGCAGATTTAAGAAAGGGAGTAGAAAAACAAAAAAACTGGTGTGCAACAGCAGATGGGAGAGTGGTGAGAACCAGCCCTGCAGCCCCCCAACTCAGTGCAGCAGGAGGGCAGGAGGTGCTCCAGACATGCAGCAGCAGTTCCCCTGTGGCCTGTGGAGAGGCCCCTGGTGGAGCAGGCTGTCCCCCTGCAGCCCATGGGTCCCACATGGAGCAGCCTGTGGCCCGTGGAGGAGCACCCAGTGCAGCAGGTGGAGGTGGCCTGGAGGAGGCTGCGGCCCATGGAGAAGCCCCCACAGGAGCAGGCCCCGGGCCGGAGCTGCAGCCCGTGGAGAGGAGCCCATGCAGGAGCAGGGGGTCTGGGGGGAGCTGCCACCCACCCGTGGGGGACCCGTACTGGAGCAGTTTGCTCCTGAGGGATGGACCCCATAGTACGGAGCCATGTGGGAGCAGTTCTGGAAGAGCTGCTGCCTGTGGGCAGCCCCCACAGGCTCAGTTCGGGAAGGACGGCATCCATGTGGAACAGGGGCAGAGAGTGACCATGAAGGAGCGGTGGAGACGAAGCATCAGGGGCAGTCTGCAGCCCCCATTCCCCATTCCCCTGCACCTCTCGGGGATAGGAGGTGGAAGAGGGCAGCAGGGGGGGGAGGCGGTTTTAGCTTGCTTTTTTTCTCACTGTTCTAGCTTGTTAGTAATAGGTAATAAATTAGATTAATCTCCCTATGCTGAGTCAGTTTTGCCTGTAATGATAATTGTTGAGTGATCTCCCTGTCCTTATCTCAACCCTGGAGCCCTTTCCATCGTATCTTCTCCCCCTTTCCCTTTGAGGATGATGGGTGAGAAAGTGGTTGTGGTGGAGCTCAGCTGTCTAGTTGAATAAAACCACCATAGCACCTAATATGAAACAGCCCCTTTCCCAGCACTGTATGTACAAGGCAAACAGAGAAAGAGTGCTCATTGAGGCTGAGGGGGATGGAGAAATGAGGTTTAGAGACTGAAGGACTGATGAAATGTCCTGCAAAATCTGTGGAAGTGGTGCTGCTGATTTTAATTGCCTCTCCTCTTGAGCCCAGAAAAGGAGTAGCTTAGATGAAAACTGAACTTGATGTATTTCAATCATGCAGCATCCCCCCAGCTGCAAGAGTATTTCTTAAAACTGCTTGAACAGGACATTATGCTCACCAGCTAGCCCAGTCTGAGTGTCAGACCCAACCTATTTTCACCTTCTCCTTATACTGCTTTTCTTTCATGTTGCAGCCCCCCTTCAGAATGCTATAACAAAATAAAACACCAAAAGTCAAAATTGCTCTAAGCACTAATGGGACCAAGAGATACATTTGCAGATATACTCTTGTAAAAACTGATTTATAAAATATCTAGATGTATAATGCAAAACATTACTGGTTCATTTTTGGAAGAAATCGTGTCTGTGGTAATAGATTCTTTTTTATTGTTATTTATGTGTGTGTGTGGTTATTTATACACCTTAGTTTTCCCTGCTCTCTGAAGAGGATTTTTTTTCCCCTGAGGATATGATAGAAAGAGTTAGCAAGTATGCTTTTGAGATAATTCACCACTTCAGAACTACACATCATTCCTCTCAGCAATCACCAACATAATCTGCAACTGTAAGCAGGGAGAGAATTTAAAATAACTAGTTCTACAAGCAGGTCTCTTGGAGAAAGACATGAAATCGGTATGTATTAATGATTGGCAACATAGATGTGTCTTTGTCTGACAAAGAAAACATATTTAATAGCACCATCAGAAAAGTTTTGAGATGAGCTGTTCAAATCCGTTTAGCTGAGGCTTTTTATTTTGCAATGAAAGACGTATTTTATAGTACTAAAGCTGAAGTTTGACTTAAAATTCATGTGAAGATAATTCTCAAAGCAAGAAGCTGCTCTATCATACAAGACAATGGAATGTGCCATTTTCTATTATGCACTCTATTTTATGGCTGATAGCTCTTTAATATGAAGAGTCATCATCAGTTATTTGAATTGTTACTTTTCATTCTAAAAATTTTCTCTGATTTTACCTGATATTTTCAGCATTTATGTCTAGAAGACTGCCAGGACTAAGACTGCGGAGGGCCGTTAAATGAAACTTTACATTGACTGAAATTTTAGGATACATACATATAAAGAGATGTATGCATGTTTAATTGGGAAAAAGTAAAGAGCAATAACATTTGTATAGGTTTCCCAAGGGGAAAACATTAGTTTAGGGCTGATATTGAATAACTGATTTTGTTTATTCCTGACTAATGGATTATGGATAATACCTGCCATACAGTTTTAGGATTACAACAATTAACTTCAGAAAGCTGCATAGAACTGGAAGTTCAATGAAAAATAAAATCATTTTCTATACAGTTCTATAGTTCTGTGCTTTATTATTATTTTTTTTTTTTAAAGCAACATGTCATCAGTAGAGATATTCAGTCACTAAACAAGAAACACCCCATGGAGTCCAGTCATTAACTACAGTCATGCAGAGAGTAACTTAAAATCCTAGGGAGAGGATTTTTTAGCACCCCACAGATAATAGCAGGTTACAGCAGAAACTGGTTATTTTATCTGCAGCTGGCTGCAAAACATGATCCATATTCCCAGGGAATTTTTCTCTCCTTGTGTCACCTCAGTTTTGTGGTCATGCTGGATGCTTAATGGCCAGTGTGAAATGTTCTTTTAGAGTTCACTACCTGCTGGGCTTGGAAGTGCAAATTTGTGCTGGCTGCCCACTGTGGGTAGTCCATTAAAATGATGTTCATTCACTCATGGGCCATATCAGAGGAATAGTTGTCATAATCTGTCTGAGTGAGAAAAGTGCAACATGCTGCTAGCTGAAGAAGGTGTATCCACTGTCATCAGTAATTCTGAGGGTTATTCTTTTGTAGAAGGATGACATTTAGGTATGCCTCACTACTATTAATGCAGTGCATTCACCCATATGCCAAAAATTTCCTCTTCTTTTGAAGGTAGCACAGAAGAATCAGACATCTGAAAAAATCCCTTCTCCTTTACTACCCTCTCATCTGTAATTCAGCTTCTCTGGCAGTATCCCACTGACCTGCTAGCAGGCCCTGTGCAAACAGCTGCCAGAGCTTGTCAGCCTATAGGTATATAGGTATACTTATAGGTATATTACTAATTTCTCCTTTCAAAGCTGGCACATCCTAAGTGTGTCTGGAGGAAGGTGCAGGGTATGAACAGAGCAGTGATATGCAGATAGCATAAATCTTAGTAAAAGTTGCAGCTTCTTGTGCTGAAATAGATTAGATTCTCTTGATGTTTGCCTCTCCATTTTATAAATCAGGATAAGCCCTCAAAATGATGGCTGGAGTGGATAGCACCTTCATCTGTCCCCTGTTGCAGAGTGGCAGGCTAGAAGCTACTTGCCTGTGTGCTTTTATGTACAGAAGATTTTCTTAATCAATGGGGCTCCAAATACTATTTTGCATTGCATTTTTTCCCACTGCACTTGGAGCATATATAAACTTTCCAGATAAGCATCTGTGGGTTTGGTTTGTTTGTTTGTTTTCCCATTAGGTCTCCACTTTTTCAGTTTCGTCAAAAGATACACTGTTCTTATATCTGAACTACTCAGATTGATCCAGGTATCTGTTGGGAGCCAATACCATCAGACTTCATATTACATCTGAGTAGTTGAGCCTCTAGTCATGTGGCAGAAGACTCACACATTGCTTTGCAGGATACCCAGAATAGCTTCTTATTTATGGAGAGGTCTAAAGGAGGGAAAACATGTACAAGACAATTAAGAAAGGAAGAAAAAGACACATCAGTAATAATGTGCCACTGTGATTGTTTTTCTGTCTCTGTGAAGTATTAGAAGATAGTAATAAGATGAAGAC